TAACTAAAATATTGAAAATCTAACTAGTTAAAAATTAAAGAGTCAATCTAGGACTATTTTAAATGTTACTTCTTACTAATATTATAAATGCGAAAGTTTCGTTAGATGGATGGATGTTGATTAAAATTAGTAGCCTAAACGGCTCAACAGATCTCTATGAAATTTGGCATAGATGTAAAGGATAATCTGGGAGAACACATACGTTACTCACTTTTTTTTAATTACACGTGGTTGAAGGCGCGGGCGAAAGAGTTCAAAATAAATTGCGAATAAGTAAAAGCTTATAGCATATATCAGTATAGCAAGGAACCGCGAAATAGTAATTTAATACCAATAAAATTACACGTCTTGACAAAAAGATTAACTGGCAAGTGATCATAAGTTCTAACTTCTTTCGAATCCTATTAATTGACTAACTTTACCACTAGATGGCGCGATTATTATTCGTGCTGCTACTGGTGGTGCTGGGAGCCCCCGTGTACTTCCTCTTCTTCAAGAGCCCCCCCTCCCCACCAGAGATCGACCTTACCGAGTGGTGGGGGCCTGACCAACTGAAGACGAAACAGGACACTAGTATCAAGCCTTTTAAAGTCAAGTTCGATGAATCGGTGAGTAATATCAGATGTCCAAAGTATCTGAATACTGTTTAATAATTTCATGAAAATTGTTACATCATACTAATATTATAAATGCGAAAGTTTAGATGGATGGATGTTAGAGTTTATAGCGTAAACGGTTGAATGGATTTCGATGAAAGTTAGAGATAAAGATGCAAAGGATATTCTGGAAGAATACATAGGCTACTCACTTTTTTTAATTCCATGTGGACGGGGTCGCGGGTGAAAAGTAGTGTAGTACATCCTACTAATATAAATGCGAAATGGATGGATGGACGTTTGTTGGAGTTTGTAGCCTAAACGGTTAAACAGATTTCGATTAATTTTGCCATAAAAGTAGAAGATAGTCTGCAAGAACACATGGGCAATTTACATTTGTTTTTTTTAATTCTACGCCACGGATACGCGGAAGAAATCCAGTTAATTGATTAAAAATCTTAACGTTAAAGTAATAAGAATCCTTTTTGATCGTTTTACTTCCATTTTAGATGATAAAAGACTTGAAAGACCGCTTGAAGTCCCACCGTCCGTACATTCCGCCGCTAGAAGGCGTCGCCTTCGAGTACGGGTTCAACAGCAAGCAGATGAACAGCTGGATTAAATACTGGGCTGAGGAGTATCCCTTCGCTGAGCGCGAGCAAGTGTTCAACAAATACCCGCAATTCAAGACTAACATCCAGGGTCTTGATATACACTTCATCAGAGTTAAACCTGAGGTATGTATTGTTCTGTTTCTACAATCTTGAAAACAAAACGATATATTTCTTGTGGACTTATACGAACGTCGCCTGGAAAAGCTAGAGGGGCAAAGTCATTTAGGCTAAGTTAACTACAGAACTACTTGTCAGGTTTTCAACTTTTCTATTACTAACGCCATCAGTCATCGGCTGACAACGCTCTTGTTTCATGTTCCTCGATATATGATGACACAACTCGACTTTGCTCTTCATAACTCCCTTTATTACTTGCAGGATTATGTAGTCTGTTTTAGTTCTATTTTTCTATTTAATACCTAATCGTAAGCTGGATATTATGGAATTAGGAATAACCACGTACAGGTTCTAGAAGGTTAAAGTAAGCAGTAGTAGACTGAACATTGTAGATTCTATTTACTAGGAATATGTGGTGGCTGTAAACAGATGAAGGGAAGTAAGTTGATGGAGGCGATGCCACAACCCAATAACAATCAGATATGATAGGAACATCAAATTCATTCAATAGTACAAAGTGACTACTAATTTTGTGGCTAAAAACCAGACCAGTCACTGAATCTCGACCAGTATTGGTTTAGCTGAGCCTCCCCCTTTTGCCATCTGTTACTAATTTTCATAAATGTTTCTTATTTTGTGTAACTGTATATTTTTTGATGGCAATAGAAAGGTTTTATTTATTTATTTTTTTAATTTGTGTAATTTAGGTACAGGCTGGAGTCCAGACAGTCCCGCTGCTACTGCTGCACGGCTGGCCGGGGTCAGTCCGGGAGTTTGATGCGGCCATTCCCCTACTCACCGCAATCAGTAAGGACAGGGACTTTGCTCTGGAGCTCATCGTTCCTAGCTTACCTGGATACGGATTCTCTTCTGTAAGTACCACCTTATGTGAAAAATTAACTTAATTAGGAATTTATCCCCTATGTGACTTTTCGGGTTGTTTTCTAGTAATTTAGCTGTGTTTTCTTGAATACTAAAAAATCTTTTAATCATGATATACGAGTATAAACGTTTTTATAACAACGTTTAGAAACATTACCCTTTTAGTTACCACAAAATTGAATGTACAATCACGAAAATTCGCAGTGTTCCACTTATAGGAAACTTGCCTTGTTCCTTGAACTCAGTCGTTTCTTAGATATAACAACATAGTAGCAACGAGTTACGTCAATGATGGCATTATAATAACAAGCAATTTGTCTTATCCCTTCAAAAAGTTTTATTGCCATTTCAATGTATACAAAACGTTTAAAAAACTGCAGCTTGTCATAACACGGTCAGATCTCCCAACTGTACTCTTCTCTCCTTAAACTATGTTATTTTATAAGATTGATAAAATTACAGCCGGCAGTACGTCCTGGTCTCGGCGCTGACAAAATGGCCGTCGTATTCAGGAATTTGATGCACCGCCTCGGCTTCCAGAAGTACTACATCCAAGGAGGAGATTGGGGTGGAATTATCACTAGCAACATTGCTACCCTATTCCCACAGGTATTTAAGAACTTCTGCTTATAATCTGACTAGATTAAGACGAAAGATAAATTATAAACTATATTTATCTATTGAAATTTTTTTAATCGATTAGTTAATTAGACATAATTAAAGTCTATTTTAATCTTATAGTCGAGATAATATTTATTTTCATGTTCTGGTACTTTAATGTTTTTAAAAAGTTTCTATCTTCTAGGATGTTCTCGGCTATCACGCAAATATTGTATTCTCGATGACTCCGAGGACGACGTTATTCCAAATCCTCGGATCTATCTATCCGCCTCTAGTTGTGCGATCAGATTTGGCTGACCGCATGTATCCATTGTCAGAGAAATTCGCTACACTCGTCGAAGAAATGGGTTATTTACATATACAATCGACTAAACCTGATACTGTTGGTATGTTGGTTTTGTTTTTTATCTGTTTGTGCGTTCAGAAAAACAGCTATTCTTCTGTTTAAATTAAAAAAGTGAAAAAAGGTCACTTGTTATAATTGATAAGATATCTTTAACGTCATAATAGGATATCGAGTATCGTTAGTGTTGTTTAAAAAAGTAAATAAGCACGCACTTGTGTAGAATACACTATAACTTGTAAACTACTATGTATAATTAAAAGATATTTTGGCAATATAATGTATTCCAGTATATCTATTGATGTTCAAAATTACAACCATCTATGTTTATCCACAACGAAGTTACAGGGGTGTCAAAATGCTCTGAAGCGCTTCCAGAATTTTCTATAATTTCCAAAAAATTATTCTATGATTGCAATAGTCATTCCCGCCAAACCGCTTACGTGGTTTGTAGGCGTGCCTTTTAAACATTTATATATGGTAGAATGTCTTGAAATATTACAGCATTATTTTTTTTTGTATGGCCGTGCTCGCCGCAGCAGTACACTGCCGCGCACACAGATTAAAACTCCAATAAGAAGCTGAACTTTACAACAATTTTAACTATAAAATCTGCCAGTTATGACTATTCTAATAGGGCTTGTCCCACCACTGGCTGAAGCTCAGATAGCTTAAAAATGACGTCACTGTCAGATAAAGGAATAAATTCCGATATTCCCATCACATATTTTACACGTTCGTTTGTTATACAATTTACAATTTGGTGGGACAGGCCCTAAGACTTCCACTCCTTTAGAAGTCATTGTAACCGGAGTTTGTTACTTTATACAGGAGTAGCACTAACCGACTCTCCATCTGGTCTACTGGCTTACATCCTGGAGAAGTTCTCGAGCTGGACGAAGCCGGAGTATAAACTCCTGGCTGACGGTGGACTGTACTCGCGCTTCACCAAGGAACAACTAATCGACAACTTGATGATGTACTGGGCGACCAACTCTATTACTACATCTATGAGACTGTACTCAGAGACGTTTAACAAGAGATATACTGGATTGAAACTCGATGAGTAAGTTTTAATTTATAGATAAACTAGCTTTCGCCCGCGACCCCGTTCTTCCTATGTGTTCTTCCAGACTATCCTCTACATCTATGCTAAATTGCATCGAAATCCGTTTAGGCTACAAACTCTTACAAATCCATCCATCCATCTAAACTTTCACATTTATAGTATTAGTAAGAATGCGAAAGATGGATGGATGTTTGTTAGAGTTTGTAGCCTTAACGTCTGAATTATAATTAGTCTGGAAGAACATATAGGCTACTCTTGTTTTTTTTAAATACAACGCGGACGGAGTCGCAGGCGAAAGCTAGTTAGTATATAATTTTCGTTTTCTTGTTATTGTCCAGAATAACTTGAACTTTCTTTTATATGGTTAGTTAAGTAAATCTGAAGTCAACTTAAATTGGACATTGTATCCGAAACTGGAATTGTAATTTTTATTTATACTTATTGAAACGAGCACTAAATTTGTCAAACATTATCTTAGATTAACAACCACAGACAAAATTTAAAAAAAAAGTTATTTAAAACTCTTTGATGGATTTTTTTAAATTTCTTCAGACATTGATTTGATACATGTTTTTTAGTAAATGTAACATTTAGATATTATTTATTACGAGGCATATAAAAGCTTAATTGATTATTTTTTCCACAGGATTCCTACACCAGTACCAACTTGGCTGCTACAAGCTAAGAACGAACTCTCTTACCTACCAGGTTGGATTATGAAGTACAAATTCATCAACCTCATAAATGAAACAATTGTAGACGACGGCGGCCATTTCTTCGCCATGGAGATGCCAAAATTCTTCGCCGATGACGTCCTTAAAGCGGTCGGAGAGTTCAGAAAATGGCACAAACAGAACAATGTTAAGACTGAATTGTAAATACGTTGTTTTTTTTTTGTTAATAAAAGGTTTTTTTTGTTGAATTTTTGTGTATTTTGTAACCCTCTCAGTATTCTCAATTGACTTATTTTCCCATACTATAAAGTTAAGTATCTTTGGTTAGAGGTTTTTTAAACTCTAAATTGTTTAAAAAAAAACAATTCATATCAATACTTAGTACGATTTTTTCCCTACTATTGAATCCTTTAATCTTAACAAAACTAGATTTTCGGATATAAGCCCTATAAACGTTTTATCAAGATAAAAAGCCGCGTAAAAATTACACAAAAAATGTAGCTTAGATTTTTCATATTCACTATTGGCGTAAACTAAAATATACGCCTAATTACGTAATTGAATAGATAATTTAATTACAAAAATATTTTTAATTACGGATGTTCCTACATAGCGGCAACGCTGTTTCACATATTATATACACTTATCTTCCTTATCAGTACTAATAAAAACCAATATTTATTTATATTTTTGTTCCCTATGAGTTGATAGATTTAGATAAAACTGGTCAAGCGTATTCTTTACCAATATTACAAGAAAAATGTTTGTATTTTTGTACTTATTAAAATAACCGGAGGCCTAATTTAACTCCCTTTGTCTTTACCACCCTCTTCTTTTATGGAGCAGAGGGGGGGAAGTGGATTTGACGGAGGAGGAGATGCATAGGAAGGTCAAACATCCTCTTTATGTGCGTTTCCTCCTCTGTCGAATAAGGGTAGGCAACGCATCTGCAATTGCAGATGTCTATGGGCAGCGGTCGCTTCGCCATTTTGGCGGATTCAGGTGGCCGCTTGCTCGTTTGCTACTTATTGTTATAAAAAAAAAACTCAAAAACTACTGGGCCGATTTCAAAAATTCTTTTACCAATAAAAAACTAATCGATAACTGAGTAATATAGGTTGTGGTTAAACTATTTTTTTACTTCCACGACAGCGAAAATCGCGAGCAACAACTAGTATGTCTTAAGTTAAAAATATATATTTAAAATTTTAAATTACTTTAATTACTACCCTTAAAGTCTTCAGTAAGGTAAGGTTACTTAGTGTATAGTATGAGAAACCTTCACAAAGGAGCTACCTTAGCTACTGATTGAAAATTGGTGTTTCACATGGCAACTTTAGCATAGCTGTGGGACATCGGTATGAATGTCACCAACGTTTGCGTATAAATAAAGGACGCTTGATTTCTTATAGAGCACATATATTTCTCATATTATATAAAGGTACAATATACAATACTCATTACGCATTACAGTCTAGAATAATGTTCAACAGAGAGAAAGAAACCATGCTACCAATCTGACAGTTCTGCCCAGCTAAGATTCAAAATGTAACTGCCGATAGCGCTAGTATTGAATTCGGTGCGAATGTGTCGCCACATAGCAACGTGTGCCGATTCTAGCCAGTTCATTCTAAAAACACTAAGAGCGTTGTAATCGCAAAATTAGTATAAACACGTAGACGATGAGATGACGAAATTATAGTGCTGACTCATAAGGTTTCGCTAGTGTTAAATAGTGCTGTCTCTATTTTATCAAGGCGAACGATAGAGATGTCAGATGAGATAGTAAACTGACAATGATTTTTATGTTTATTTGACAATCATTGCGGAAAAATACTCGGGAAAACACTAATAGGTTGATTTCAATTTTATTTATAACGGTAACTACAAAAAAAATACCAATCGAATTGAGAACCTTCTTTCTCCTTTTTAAACTGTAAAAATTGGACATATTTTAGTATTTCTTTTTGGTCCGAGATTACGATTAGAAATTTTAAAATTTTATTTTTAATTTGAAAGCGACTAAATGTTGGTCGAATCTGCACATTTTTATTTTAAACACATATCAAAAAAGTTCAAGGTCATAACCAAAGCGTCGCGGACGGAGACGACTGTACCTTTTATCAAAGTGTCGAGTCATTCAATTTTGATAAATCAATAATAATGTAACGTACCGAAACATCTGTATGAGGTAACAAATATTTATCAATTCCGCGTGTTGACAACGAAATTATTCAAGAAGGCAGTATCGTTCAAAATTTGTTTCAAGGCGCTCGTATCTTCCGATCTCTGTAAGTATTAAATTAAAAAAAAACTAGTAATTATTATTTTACCGTTAAAATGTCGGTTATTAACTATCTCATCATTTCAATTGTTTTATTACAATTTTTACTCACAAATAAACGAGTAAAAAACAAACAAAGACACCGTTTGTTGTCACAAACGGTGTCCTTATTGTTAGAACCTTTTTCCTATTGAATTTAGTTACTAAAATTAAAGTTACTACTTCATCACACTTTAATTACTTTTAAAAATAATCCTTGGACTGATCCTTATCAATGCTTATTAATAATCTTGCTTTTGTTTCTTTAATTACATAAACTGGCAATGATTCAGCAAATTATTATGACTCATACGGCAACATTATCTTTCCTTTTTCTAATTTTAACAAATTAAAAAGACACTAATAATATCATAATAAGGAATCATTAAAAACAAAGTGTACATATTTCATTAAATATTTATTCATTAAAATATTTCATTTAATTAAAATTAATTAATTTACATTTTAAAATAAAGGAATTAAAGTCTCATTTCATTAAAATTAATTTAAAACTAAGACCAATAGTTATGCGACAGATGTGAAATAAAAACTAAGTTTCTCACTAAGTTATGGTTTTATTTCTTCAGTTAAAGATGGCGAAGCTGGTAACGATACTAGCAGCGGTAGTCGCAGTGGTAATAGCATGGAATTTACTAAGCCCTAGTCCTAAACAACCAGTCCTCGACCCTGAAGAGTGGTGGGGGCCAATGGAGATGAAGGGGAAACAGGACACGAGCATACGACCGTTTACCATTAAATTTGAAGACGCGGTAGGTATCATAGAGTACATTTATAAAAAGAAACTTAAACACGTCTCTAGGATATCAATCTCATGACGTTCGATAAAATCGATTCAATAGTTAAGCCTACAGAACTTCGACGTCACCGGGGAGATGCAGTTGAGGGGCATTTTTTAACATCATACTGCGGAAAACGAGCAAGCGGCCACCTGTATCCGCTAAAATGGCGAAGCGACCGCTGCCCAAAGACATCCGCAATTGCAGATGCGTTGCCTACCGTTAATCGACGGAGGAACAGACGTACATAAAGAGGATATTTCCTCTCTCCTCCACCGTCAAATTGCTCTTCTTTCCTATGCTTACCTCTTAAGAAAAGGATGCAAAGAGAAAGGGACTAAAATTAGGCCTCCGACACCGCACTCGACAGACGAAACGCGGAATTGCTCTCACTTCACGCCTGTCTTCTGTGTGATCGTGGCATTACACCGGGCGAGCCGAACCATTCGTGCGAAGGTGTTATAGTGGGCTCTACCGCTGTTACAATGCATGCAGATATGAATAACTGCAATTTATTTATAACATCTTTTGGCATTCCAGATGATCAAAGATCTAAAGCAACGCTTAAAGTCACATCGTCCTTTGACACCGCCTTTAGAAGGCATCGCTTTTGAATACGGATTTAACACCAAAGAATTGGAAGGCTACTTGAAGTACTGGGCTGAGGAGTATCCTTTCAAAGAGAGGGAAAAGGCGCTGAATCAGTTCCCGCAGTTTAAAACAAACATTCAGGGACTCGATATTCACTTTGTAAGGGTAACACCAAAGGTAAGCATAAGAATGTAACACAAGTAGCTATATGCAGTCATATTATCTGTCTATTTAATTTTCGTACAGACATGAACAAGAAACGAGATAAATCATGTATCTATATATTACTAGGTTTTGCCCGGGACTCCGTCCGCGTAAAACTAAAAAAAAATGTATGTATCCTATGTATTCTTCTAGACTTCCCTCGATATCTATGCCAAATTTCAACGATATGCGTTCAGCTGTCCTGTTACGAACTCTAACAAACAACCATCCATCTAAACTTTTGCATTAATAAGATAGGAAGTGGATTAATTAAGAAGAATAAATTCTTGTTCTTCCAGGTACCCGCAGGAGTAACCGTCGTTCCATTGTTAATTCTTCACGGCTGGCCGGGGTCTGTCAGAGAGTTCTATGAAGTCATCCCCTTGTTGACGAAGCAAAGACCAGGACATGACTTCGTGTTTGAAGTTATTGCGCCCAGTATGCCTGGATTCGGATTTTCTGATGTAAGTGGATTCAATTATGCTGTACTTATCTCTGTTATTCAGATTGTCCTATATAGTTCTTTTTACTTCGATGATATGAGTGATGGTGGGAATAAACAGAATGTTTGTTTCATTATTCCAGGGTGCAGTACGGCCAGGGGTTGGACCAGCGCAGATCGCAGTGATTTACAGAAACCTTATGCAAAGACTTGGCTTCAATAAGTTCTATATTCAAGGCGGGAACTGGGGATCCGGTATCGCAGCTGCAATGGATACTTTCTACCCTGAAGCAGTACTCGGACATCATGACAATGGAGTATTTATTCAAGTAAGGGACTTAATAACCAATGACGATGGGAGTAAGATTGACAAGATAGAACTCGTAATTTGTAACTAAAGCTTAGAAAGAATTCAAAATGTTAATGTGGCTTTAAATGCTAGCAATGCATCTGCGATTTCTCTGGCGTTGCAAATGTTCTTGGGCGTCGGATGAAGTAGCATTACGCGATCAGCCGCTAGATTGCCCCTTCTATTATAAAAAAGTATATACTCTAGTCATTGTGAAGTTTCTATTGTCTTTTAGTCAGGTGCCGCAACGCGTAAGATGATCCTCGGCGCGTTCTTCCCATCGCTTGTTGTAGAGCCACATCTAGCTGACCGATTGTATCCTCTATCTTGGCTTTTCTCATATGCTATGGAGGAATTCGCCTATCTACATTTACATGGGACTAAACCTGACACTGTCGGTATGTACTTAATGTAAATGGCATTGTTCAACATATTTTTATGAAGTCAACAATTATTCCTTAACAGAAACGACTAGAAGATGTCTAATATCAGACCAGGAATACAAAACTGAAACAAATTGGACTTATAAGTACCGTATCAGCTTATTTAGGCATCCATTAAGAAATTCAAGCGTACAAATGCTGGAAGTGAAGCTGTTAACCTAAGACTATGTTAGTCCATTGCACATTGGTTGCTGGCACCTAAAACTTTGAATTCTTCGCAATTATGTGGAAAATTTCCTGTGATGTTTTCCTTCAATATAAGAATGATTATCAAGTACTGGTATTTCTACTTTACAGGAGTTAGTTTATCAGACTCTCCATCTGGTCTGGCTGGCTATATCCTGGAGAAATTCTCTACCTGGACCAACCGCGCTCATCGTTCCCTCCCCGACGGCGGACTTAAGAAGTTCAGTAAAGAACAGCTCATTGATAACTTGATGATTTACTGGACTTCTAACTCCATTAATAGTGCGATCAGAATATACGCGAATGCTCTCAGCAGGAAGTATACTGAAATGGATTTGGATTCGTAAGTTTGTTAATGAAATTTCTTTAAGAATATCTTTTTTTAAAACGCGCGCACACCTTTAACTAAACTATCGCACTGTGTTTAGTCCCGCTTTGATTCCTATGAACTTACTCGTATATGAAGGTGTACACACTACGATTCTAGTAGTGCAACTAAACAATTGAATGGGCTGCAAAACAATCGACAATCGCATAACAGAAGTGCGATTGGTAAGTCAAAGATGTTCGCCCGCTCTTAACTTCTACTAGTAATTGAATAGTTTTTATCTCTTCAAATTTTCTTTTGCTTAATACTTTAAAAGCAAATAATTAATCACGAATTAGCAAACACAAATTATAGGTGATAATTGTCTTTTCATGAATATAAGTATTTTAATAGTATTAGTAGTATTTATAGCAAAGAAATCGCTTTGATAAAAATTAATTTCTATAACACACTTCTATAGTAAATAATCGTAAGTGATTTAAGCTTGCAGGTAATCCGACATCTTTTGCACTCAAGTCTTTTTCCGAAAATTAATAAAAAATATTTTATTTCAGCTACCCCACCAATGTACCGACATGGGTGATGCAAACAAAACACGAACTATTCTACATGCCTCCCAGCATAATCGAGACAAAGTTCACAAATGTTTTGAACTACACCGTCTTGGACTATGGAGGGCACTTCATAGCCTTGGAAATGCCTGAAGTATTAGCTGATGATCTCTTCAAAGCTGTTAAAGCGTTCCGAAATTGGCATAAAAATAACAAAACGAAACTGTAATTGTGGTTTAATACTTTTTTAATGAATAAATGTTTTTTAATCACTTTTTAATGAGTCATTGTCACTAATACTTTAACTTTAAAGTAAACTACATTAAGTTACAGTCATGTGATAATTATGATTAAATTTTCAAAGATTAATTAATGATTTTTTTGAAATTGGACAGTTATTATAAAAGAAAGGGAAAAAAGTCCCCAATTAAGGGCTCGAGACAAATTCTAAGTAAGGGGTGACTAGGCCATAGTCAATCACGCTGCACTGCGGGTTGACTTGACAGATATTTTTAAATTTCTTTGCCGATTGCAGGCATCACGATGTTTTCCTTTACTGTAAGAACGTCGGGTAAATTATATAACGTATGAAATTGAAAGAATTTAACAATTGGCATAAAACTAACGAAAAGGAATTGTGATAAAAAAATGATAATAAATACTTCTTCAGTTTAATATTTTTTTAATGAATTAAGCAATTAATTAATTATTTAATAAAATGTCTCCAACTTATTATTATTGCGTAATTGAAAAATGAATTAAACAAAATTATATCTACATTTCTTAATTTATTTTATATCCATTAAATATAATTTAGGTAACATAATATTAAAAAAAACATTAGATTCGATTTAATTAACACAAAATCACGAGATAATAACAACTAACCTTTTTAAAGCGTCTGTCTCGATTATTTAGCATATTTTTTGACCAACTTCCCATAAGAAGGAGGTACTCAACTCGTCTGTATGTTTTTTTTTTAGTATTCAGCACTTCCAAAGAGATCAAAATATGTTAACACAACTTTATGTGTCCTTACCATCTTTATCTTTACTTCTACTATTACCACTTTTCCCTTCATCTTCTTTACCCTGGGCTGGTGCTATCATTAAGAGGTTGTTACCATTTCGTTCAGCAGCCAGATTCCTAAAGGGAACATTCTGTCTCCATCGAGAAGGAAAGTAATACTGAGTTCTCAAAATCTTTATATGGTCTTTTCCGAAAAAATAATCCTTGTTAAAACCAACATTCCTCTGTATATTCCTTCGAAGATTCTCCTCGTTTTCATCACCGTATTTGCAAAAATCACCATCGATCTTTGGTTTGTCATCATCATGGTATGGTCTTTTGAGACGTAAATTTCTGCTCTGTGGGCTCAACGGTGACTCGCATTTTACAGCCAGATTAGAGTTTTCCTTATTAGTGAGTAGACCATGACTTTTCTGCCACTCTAGCACTTCGCAGAGAAGACCGATGTATCTGTAAGAAAGTATCAACTTCATCTCCAATATTCGGATACAAGCTGAAGAAATATTTATAACTAGCTGTTACCGTACGATTACATCGACATGAAATTATAAATATTGTTAACATTTGTCAAATTCTTAATTGCAAATGTCAAAATTATCGTTACCTTCCTTTCTTAATGTTGGCAACTTGTAAGTTATTTACCCCCTAAGCTTAATAGCGTGAAAATATGTAGGGTTTTTATCTATATCTATAGAAGCATAGATATAGATTATTACCTAATCGCCATCCGAAGTATCTCATTCTTGGATAATTTCTTATCGGGAGGATGTGTGGGCACCAGTCTTCTCAACTCGGCGAAGGCGCCGCTCACATTCTGCTGTCGCCAGCGCTCGCGGCAATTCGTGAACAGCTTCCGAGGAGGTCGCAGCAAGCAGTTCAATGCAGGTAGGTCTTCTGAGAGACTCTATCAAGACAGTTTCAGATCATATAAAACAATCAAAGCAGTTTATAAAGCAGAATATCCTGCGCAATTAAAAATATAGTTTAGTAGAAAAACTTCAACTTGCCAGATTATATTTTGTAATAAAATTGTTTTTCGTTTCCCTCGTTTACATTCTAAAACCTTTACAGTTGATTACTGTACTGTCTTATAAGACAGAAATACTGGCTTATAAAACCTTGGCTTCTTAAAAGCAGGTCTCCTAGTTAAGAAGCCAATGCAACACTGACTAACAATTATAGCGTTCTATAAAGAAATTCTTAAAGCTAATCTCGCTTTGATTCGTATAAGCTTCCCGTTTTTTAGTTGTGCTCCTAAACAGTTGAATTTCGAAAAATTCGTGCGACACAACTTTTGTGCGTTTGTTTATTCAAAGGTGTACTCAAGATAGGGTTGTAAATCGCTTGCATGGTCAGTAGCACTTTTTATGACATCATCTACAGAATAATGCTTGTCCACTGGTCTTCTAGAAGGGATAAGATAGAACTAACCTGAACACTCCTAGCCTGTCGATCATCGTCACTGTCCTGCAAGTATAAGTCATCACTTAACATTTCACTATCGGGCTCTTCATCCGACGACTCCTGATCTGATGCCATCGCTGGGTTACCTGGTGAGAGAGGTGAATATGTACGAAAAAGTTGTTAGTATTATTGCTAATTATTTTTTAATGTTAGTCCCTCGTTTGAGTAACTCTCTGATACTTAATCTTTGTCTATACTAATATTATAAAGAGGAAAGCGTTGCATTTTTATATTTTTGCATGTGTTCGATACACGTAAAAACTACTGGGTCGATTTTAAAAATTCTTTTGTCATTAGAAAGGTAATTTATCCGTAAGTAACATAGCCTATGTTTTTTACTATTTTTACTGAATACTGCTATCTACACTAATATTGTAAATAGGAAATATTTATATTATTGGTTTTTGTATGTATTGAAATAACTCAAAAACTACTGGGTCGATTTTAAAAATCTGTCTACATTAAATGCTACATTATCAATGAGTAACATTTTTAAAATCGTCCCAGTAGTTTTTTAGTTATTCCAATACATACAAAAATCCAAAAATACCAATCATTCCTCTTTATAGTATCATAATTAGAGTAAAAATAATTCATATTCTTGTACGAGCAATGGGTCCAAACATAGTGACATCCGGCGATAGCGGCATCCGCAGTTACCCAACAATAAACGTTTTGTACTCGTTATTGTTTTTATTTATTATTTATAAATATTACGTGTTATCATAATGCATTTATATCTACATGTAAATTTAGCCTTTTTACACCAGTAAATTATTTTCCTCTCGACAAATTAATTAGAAAATAATTCACTGTGTTAAGGGGGTTTTTGTAGCTTTCTTTTGCGTGAACGTCTAAGTGTTTAGGTCTTAGGCTTTAATCTCTTAATGATCGAAGATTAATAGGCTATAGAAATTAGTTGTTTTTTTAATTAACTATAAATTATCTAATTTAGGTATTTCAGTCGTGTTTCCTTACATTGTATTGGTTCATAATTTTCGGTCAATTTGTACCAAGGGCAAAGCGTATATCTCAAAAAAATATTTTATTATTTTTGTAAGAGTTATTTTAAATTATTGTATTAATGTTATAACTATCTAATACTTACAATTCCCAGACAATTTATCACTCACAGTTGGCATAAACACTAATTGAAAACCTTTTATACTAACACAAAAGCACTATAAAATATATTCAACAACTTATAGGAGGAACATGATCCTCTGACGTGTGAAACACGACTGAGGGGATAATGAGAAAAAATATTTAAATTTCGAACAGGGGGTTGCGAAATCAGTTTCTGATTGGTGGAGAGACTTGGGACAACCGACCAATCACTGACTTGCGGTGGGTGTGGTTGTTATTACGCGATATATTCGCATTTAGTTAATCGGACAATAACTTTAGCTTTTATTACCGGTTATAAATATGCAGATTTTAAAATTCGAACTTTTGCAAAACAAATTCACACGTTAAAGTGACTATTAGATAGGGTTAAAAATACTCGAAGAATTACGTAATTAGTTGTAAACGTAAATATCACATTGCTTGACCACTTTAATTATTTATTTCAGTAAGATAATAAAGGTAAAAAAGACCTTTTCTTACTATTGTCGACAAGTAAAGAATGTTTTGCTTATTAAATCTATAATTTATAATATGAGCCTTTATTTTAAATTGAACTGCATTCCTTTGCCAAAACTCACCACAGTTAAAAGGACCATCTGTTCACAATATCGCCACGTGAACAATTAAATCAATGCACAATATTGTGAGAGTCAACATTGGACAGAATTACACGTGCGACAAGATGGCGCCACTTTTGACGTGTATTTAATCTGTCACGATTAACACGATCGTACTATGATAGCGAAAGTGTTGTAAATTTCGAACAGAATCCATAAAGGTATATTTTAATAAATGCTAACGAAAAACCACTTTACCAACGACAAATATTCTTTCCTACAGTATTTTTAAGTATTGAATGATTGTCAATTGTTTCGCAGCCCATTCAACTGTTTAGTTGCACAACTAAAAATAGTATGCACGTATGAGCTCATAGGAATCAAAGCGAGACTAAACGGTTTTGGGATAGTTAAGTTTAAGGTGTGCGAGCGCTCTTAAAGCTAGTCTTTTCTGCAAGGAAGCTAACTCTTTTTCTTAACTATTTTTGCATGATACATATTCCAAATGGAGATTCGAGGCGTTTGATTTTTTTTATAACAAAAGGGGACAAACGATTGGCGGAAACACCGAGGTGATCAACGACGACCATAGACATCCGCAATACTAGAGGAACTACAGACGTTGCCGGCCTTTGAGGAAATAAAAGGCTCGCTTCTTGGAGGATCCTAACTCATACTGGTTCAAAAATACCGATGAGAACAGACGGTTCCATAACGACGCTGTGCGAGGCAGAAACTTTCGCTAAAACGATAGGTAATTAGTATAGAAACAAATGATATAACAAATGTCTTAATGGCCAAACAAACATTAACAACATTCATAGAATTGATAGTGATTAACCCTTGATCTGTCGTTCCTGTTAAGTGATAAACAGACAGGACGCTTTGTTAAGAAATTAGTGAATAACTTCAATTGTCCCATGCAATAATATAGCGTTTTAAAAGGTTATGTTCTTAAACATAATGATTCCTCGCTCATTTTCTTTATTCTGTCTCTTTTCTTATGTATCTGCAACGCACAGAATATTTAAATTGTCTCTAAAGGGCTTCTCTCTGGAGGATGCCTTTGCCGACTGGCAAACAGATAGCTGTGTAGAAAAAAAAATGTGTAACTCTGTATACCTAGTTCCTAAGTTCTTTGTAAGCTATTATGAATAAAAGGCTATTTCAAAAGGCTTCATCATCTAATCTAGGAAAGTGTGATTGAGTGAGCTAGTTAAATAATAGTTGACTAAGGCCAACACTGGCCCATTGCTGATTGACTTTACATATATATTTTGAATTTAATCACCGATACATGCAGCCATAACGATCTTAGATAAGTTTATATGACGGAGATCGAAAAAGGTCGTAAAGAATTTGGTTTAGTTTGCTCATACGGTTAACTACGCCACTGACGCTCTTGGTAATAAACATTAGACAACCTAAATAATACTTACTGGCCAAATATTATAATCTGTATAAAGCCCCCTTTCATTTATGACCCTAACTTTTATAGATGTAATTACTTTTATTTCTCTTATCTTAATCGTAGCAAATATTAGAGAGTTGGCGTAAAATCTTTTGTTATATCGTACACGTGTAATTGTAACAAAAAAAAATCGCCGAGCTATTTATATATTTACAATATAAATGTGCGTAAAACGATAATGCCGCCAGTGTCGGAATAATCGCGACGGACGACGCACGTCGATTATTTAAAATCCCGATAAAATCTAGTTTAAATTTCTTTTTAAATAAAACTTACGACGTTTTGCTTGAGGACCGTTCCTTAGCTTGAATTAGAAATATAATCTGTGATTTTATTATTATCTGTGCTAATTGTTTGAATTTAGTAAAAGATTGTTTTGTTGTGGTATTTTAAAATCCAAATTAATGTGTTCAGATCATTGTGTGATTCAACCAACTGCGTAAAAATTAATCACATTTGAAAAGTATAAAAGTATTGTTTGGTATGTGTGGTATAAAATTATTTATCTTTAGTAAGGGTCAATGACCCTATTTATAATCTAAAAAACACGAAAAAGTTTTGTCATAGTTTCGAATTGATTTTGTGCATAAGGTCAATGACCTATCCCCAAACATTTGTCTAAAAATTCGCTAAAAACACGGTCACAAAGTCAGTAAACTTTACAATTTCAATACATATTGATAGAATATCTGATTTGCAAGCTGATGGTTTATTCTAAACCAACAAAAGAGCCCTCTTTTAAAACTTTTAATCGTCAACTAATTATGTTTTTTCGCGCCAATAATTTGTATTAGCCCGCGAATTCGTCCGAAATAAAAAAAATGTTATAGGCTATGACAAACGCCAATCTATGCCTTTCATCAAGATCTGTTTAGTCGTTTTGGAGTTATATTAAAAAAATAGTTTTTTAGTTTAGTGTGTTTTCAGAAATTGTCAAGATTACTTGAAGTTTTGTTCAACAAATCTCTTTTAACGATAATAATAGTTCTAAATTAACTTCTTAGTACACCATATTAAATAAAGCAATATTCTTTTATCTAAATAAAAAAATCGTAGGCATTTTCATCTTGACCTCAGACCTTAATGACGCCGTCAATTAACCTAGAGATAATTATTAAATGAAAAAACTGTATTTGAGGTTAGAAAGATAAAATGTAATATTATTGCAAACTATTATTTACTATAATATTAAATGTTATTTTATTAAGTAACTAGATATGAATATAATGAAAAATACCTTTTTATTATTATTTTTTTATAAAAAGTGGTAAACAAGCAAGCGACCACCTGAATCCGAAAAGCGATCGCTGCCCCTAATCATCCACAATAGCAGATGCTTTGCCTACCCTTAATTGACGGAGAAGACGCACATAAACAGGACATATTCCCTTCCTATGCGTCTCCTCCACCGTCAAATCCACTTTTCCTTCCCATCCTTTCCTATTAAGAAAAGGATGAAAAAGGAAAAGACTTCAATTAGGCCTCCGGCATCACACTCATCAGACGAAACGCGAAATTGTTTCTACTTCACGCCTGTTTTCTGTGTGGTCGTAGTATTACACCGGGCGAGCCGACCCATTCGTGCGAAGATGTTAAAGCGGGCTCTACCACTGTTAAATATATTTTCTTATATATTTCACACAATCCATCCATACTTTCTTCGACATAACTGTCAGAAAATCTCAAACGTGTTGTTTAAAATTACCATAAAATTAATTAATTTTAAATAGGATGAGTTGGCAACCCTAATCTCAAATCGTGTGCATTATGCATTATGCAAGTCACGTGATCGTGCATTTGTTTGTAGACAAACAAACCGACAGACACATTGTAGATAGTGGTATTAGCTATATGAAGTCAAACATGACGCGACCCTATCGACCCTTCAACAGTGTGATTACGCCGTGTATATGGAGTGGCGAGAAATTTTATTGCAGACAAATCTTTCTTATTGAAATTTTACATGGACGTTTGTTAGAGTTTGTAGCTTAAACGGCTGAACGGATTTCGATGAAATTTGGTATAGATGTAGAGGATAGTATGGAAGAACACATAGGCTACTTTTGTTATTTTTAATTCCGCGTGGACGGAGTCGCGGGCGAAAGCTAGTTATTGAATAAAATTGATATATTTACAGTTCAAAATAAAGATTAAACAGTGAAAACCACGATATACAAGTGCAGAGACGTATTAAACAATATTAAAGCAGCGACGGGCATTATAATGTGACTTGTGATTGTGATAAATTATGCAATTACGACTTTAGTTAATCTATGTGATTTAAAACAAAATGGATCCACAAGAATTAGTGCCGTTAGAAGGTAAGATATGACTTACATTTAAAATAATTAATAAACATCTTGTTGTCCTTTTCATTCCATTTGTAAAATCTGAAACGACGATAGTTACACACGTTTCAGAGTAGAAATTCTTTGTAAAATTTAACTCTACGTCTCATTTCTAAATAGATATGTTTTCAAAATTAAATTGTTAACATAACTTATTAGTTGTTTAAACAGATATATGAAAATCTCTACATATGATAAAACTGGAGTGTCTCTTTGTAATATCAAAAGAAAAAGGTTTCGGGAAGATGATGTATTTGCGTTGCTGATAACTGTCTGTCTGTCTGTCTGCAAGCGCCAGTGATGGAGAAATTGAGAAGCAAAAGGTTAGGGTGGTATGGACATGTTATGCGACGAGACGATGGCGACATAAACCAGAAAGTGTTAAGATTGAATGTGGATGGCTACAAAGGAAGAGGAAGACCGAAGAAAGTATGGATGGATTGTATGAAAGAGGATATGCTTAAGAAAGGAGTGGATTCAGATATGACGGCTGATAGCACATACTGTGCCAACTCTCCGTAAGGGAAAAGGGCAAGTCTGTCTGTCTGTCTGCAAGCCGCGTTTTTTCCGGGTAATCTCTGATATAGCTGGGCCGATTTTGCGGGCGACAGCTCGTCGCAAATAAACTGTATGTAATTTAAAGATATATGTTAATTTAATTATTATATAATGCGGACATTAAAGCCGATATCCTTGTATAAACTTGTATATCTTTTATTACTTGATTTAATATCTGTTTACTAAATTCAAGGCCATTCATACCGACATAGGATAATATCAAGCATATCTCTAATACTCGTACTTGTTACGGTAAAAAGTATGACAAAAAACCTTTTAGTGTCATCAGTACCAATAATAATTTGCATAGAACCGCACTGTTATGTTAAGACACGTTTCCACTGTGCAGGAAATCACGTAGTACGGTTCCGATAAGAACAGAAACTACTACTATTTTATTCCTGTTGAATAATAAATAAATAAATAATCTTTGTTTTCTTTTTCAGCGGGTTTAGCGAACCGACCTCGTCCTACGCGTCAATTCAGCCAGCTACCATCGCGAGCCTGTTGCCAGGGCCCTATAAGATTATGCAGACTACTTGCTTTGATGATTGTTCTACCTTGTATGTTCATCTTCATACCTTTGTATATGAGGTAAGTCAACAAACCGGAAACAGTTAAAAGACCAATTCGATTTAAGTCATTAGTAATCGGAATGGTATCTTGTATAGTACGATTCATTTACGGTGGCTCGGGGTTACGGAACGCGTGTGTTCCCAAACGTGTGTTAGAAACTTCATAAATGGTAAGCGTGTACAAAATTGCGAGCACCTGATAAGTTTGAATTGTGCTATTCAATCTATTTTGTCATTAACAGTAAGATACAGTTTTAATCTGTTAAGATTCATTGTGAATAAAATTTGTGATATTACAATTAATGAAGATTTATTTTTACATTTAATAGCCTCTTTATTTACTTCTTCAGTTAACATTCAACAGTAAAAAAGTATTTACTGGATCTTTTTTCCCTTTACAAATACAACTGTGGGCATTGGCAGATAAGTTGACGTAGAATAAAGATAAATTAAATAAATAAAATTGAAAGAACAAAAACATCTTACAATATCCCCTTGACAACTGTATATAGCATTACGAGCTGTTGCCCGCGACTTCGTCCGCGTGGTATTACAAAACATACAAACTATATAAATTACAAAAAGTTACGTATCCCGCGGGCACCGGACATTTCTCGAGGATGAAGTTTATCCCATGTGTACTCCGGACTTTGTTTTATATCTGTGTCAAATTTCAATAAGATATGTTGAACCATTGCAAAATAATCGAGTAAACATTAAAAAACGAAATTAATGAATCCCCCGGGAACCGTAACTATTCTCGGGATAAAAAGTAGCCTATGTGTTCTTCCAGACTATGCTCTAAACCTGTGCCAAATTTCATAGAGATCAGTTCAGCCGTTTAGGCTACAAACGCTAACAAACATCAATCCATCTAAACTTTCGCATTTATAATATTAGTAAGATTATCTATTTATACATAAATGTTTATCTTAATCATATTTAAAACTTCAATTCACTGATTATGTCTAGGCTTTAGATATCAAGATATACTATCATACTATAATCTATATCTATACTATTATAATAAAGCGAACACACACTTCTTTGTTGCCTAAGATGTCAGCAATTACAGCATATTTTTGATTAATTCTTTTTATAATAAAAAGCCCTACACTTACGTCATGCTTTAGGCTATATATTTTCATGCCATTAAACGTTGGGGGTAAACATTTTGGATAAAAATACTAATGTGGAAAAGAGACCATAAGTTGCTGCCAACATCAAGAAAGCAAGATTGCTAAGGTTTGTAATGTCATGTCATTTTGACATTGGCTATTGATAATTTGACACATGTATACAGTAAAATAAAATTTTCACAATTTTATGCGGATGAAGTCGCACGGGAACAGCTAGTTTATTAATATTACAAAAGTTTGATTGTCTCGATTAGTTATATAACTCCAAAACGGCATATCGGATCTTAATTTTTAGCATGGATGTGGAGCAGTCTGGAAGAACACATAATAGGTTGGCCACCTATTATATGTACTTCTTTATGGAATAAAAACTTTAAGGGCCTGTCCCAACAAATTGCAAATTGTCGGATAACAATCCAACGTGTAAAACATGTAATTGAAATATCGGATTTGTTACCTTATATGACAGTGACGTCACTTTTAAACTATCTGAGCCTTTATCCAGTGGTGGAACAGGCCCTAAATCTAGCAAATATGGACAGTTGTGGCTATTCATTAGACATTGACATCATCATCATAATCTCCTCTGCCTTATCCTACTGCCGTTTGGTCAACGCACCGTGTTTTCGTCCTCCAAAGCACTCTATTATCCGTCATCTCATCACTCCCTTCTTGATCATGTCACCTTTCACGCAATCCATACATCTCTTTCTAGGTCTACCTCTACCGGTGTACCTCCACATTGATAACTAACGTCCGTCTTGTTACTGCGATTCATCCCTTCTCATAACATGCCCATACCACTCTAACCTTTTACTCCTTATTTTCTCAACCACTTGGGCTACTCTCATACCTCTAATATACTCATTTCGTATCTTATCCAATCGTGTTACCACATATCCATCTTAACATTCGCATTTCCGCCACATGTATTCTCCTTATGCATTAGACATTGTGTAACAAATTAAACGACCAATCCTTTTTATTCCACCTTTATTCAAGTACAGAGCCCATAGATTGTTACGGTTCACTTAATAACTATAGTTACGTATTTTTAATCTGTCAACTGGCCATGACTATTATCATTGTTAATTATTATTAGAACATTCGGGAAGAAATTTAAAAAAACCGTCAACCAATGAACCAGCGTGGTTGACTATTTACTACGTAGAACGAGAAGCTTGATATTCTAATGACCGGTTTCCCAACTACATTTAACTATTCGTTAGTTTTGACTTCGAGAAATGCGTTTCCGAACTACGTAACCTGTGTTTTACGCCATTGAAGTTGACCTAAACTTACCACTGACAACAAAATAAATTGAAACTTCAGAAACCCAGCATAAGTGTGATTTTCCTTGTTCCAGATACAAAGTATTCTCCGGACAAATGTATCCAATGAGTATGACAGATATGCGACTCATTGACAGCAAGATTTCGCCAACTTGGTGCCAGGTACGTACGTTCGCTTATCAAAAGTAGTATAAAAGTGCTGCACCCCTATCGAGTCCAAAATGCGCCTAGTAAGTTACACACGGTGGTACAGAGTAGTAGGCAATGCAGTACTGCTATTGTTTAAACGCACACTGAATATCAAAAATGTCTTGTACTGTATATTAAACTGTAGCAGTACGGTAGTATTTACTGCTCTACTTCAATATTCTAAGCAATTAACTATTAAACAGTAGACTATATGTAATAGTACAGAAAGAATTAATGAAATGGAATTCAGACAAAATAAGTATCAATACTATTTGGGCGTGATTGTGACGTCATATCTCCAGACTTCCTAACAATCTATCAATACTTCACTTTCACTATGATAAAATGTCATAATATTCCATCTTTTCAAATGATATTAATAGGTACATGTCACCGATCGATCGTGAATTCCGCCAGATTGCAAAATTCCGAATCTAACGAATTCCTTCAACAAATTACTTCATTTCGAACTTTACCAAGGTGACAGTTTATTTGCTACCATTTTTATTTAATAAAAGTCGTGGACAAACTGATGCAAGTGCAGATTAAACCTTTAATCGCCGAAACCCACGTCATTACATGACAGAATTTGGATGGATGGACAATTTGGTAGGCAATTTGCAAACTATCTGTATCCTTTACCATCTGTTGCATGAATGGACTGATACAAAGAAAGGCAGTGTAAGCAATTCCGCGTCTCATCAATGAGTGTGTAATTTGAGTCTTTACCTTTCCACCCTTTCCGTACTAAAGGATTAGGAAGGAAAGTAGCATGCATAGTAGGGGAAATATCCTATTTCTGTGTCCTTCGCTTCTGGCAACGCATCTGCAAATGTCTATAGGCAACGGTCGCTTCTCACTTTGTACTAAAACACAATTTATCAGTAACATGTATGTAATCGACAATTGCCTTTTACCTCTTATCATAGCATCAGCGTGTAAATCTATCTGTCAGATAAACTACACAAGATAACGTATCATGTAGCTTGTAATTGTTATGCAAGGACTACTGAATTACCATAGATTCACACTCAAATTTTGCCGACTCTGTTCTGTCAAAGAGTAAGGAAAGGATTAAAGTTTTTTTACTTAGTAGATATCGTCCGCACAGATTAAAGAAAACTAGTAAAAAACATAGTCTATGACACTCGGGGATAGTGTAGCTTTCTAACAGTAAAAGAATTTTTCAATTCTGTTCAGTAGTTTCAAAGCCTATGAAAAACAAACAATCAAATTTTTTATCTTGATATGTTTACTAACTGTTGCTCGCGATATTCCGCCATAAATTAAAAAAAGTAATAAAAAACATGGCCTATATTACTCACAAATAAATTACCTTTCTAACGGTGAAAGTATTGTTAAAATCGGTCCAGTAGTTTTTGAGTTATTTCAATACATACAAAAATCTTTACTCATTATAATATTAGTATAGATATAAGTGTGACTACAGTAGAGTTCTACTCTAATATGAAATGTCAAGAGCATTGCTAAGTAAATTAGTTTAGTCGTTCACGTATTGAATTTGTATAGCCTATTTCTATCATAAATTCATTTACTGTGATAAGATATACGAAATCAATAATCAATCTCGAACTATGAGTATTTTGGTTCTACGTTTAATAACCGGTTTTAATCCCTTTTAGGAAAAAAAGATTGTAATAGCATCAAAAAACATGATCTTTTGTCTACAGTTTCGAGTTTTTTTGGCAAAGTTCAAGGTAATTTTGACTCTTAATGCTGTTACAAAAAATAGGTACTCAGGCCAGTGTTCACGAGATAAAAATATTAGATAACTGCAATAGTTTAGATATAAATTCAATTTACTAACGTCTCCCCTAAGTTAGGGTAGACTTCGAGCCTAGTGCGTACAAATAGTAAGCTTGAGGATTGCGTTAAAGTTTCGAAAAGTCTCAACTATTACTATATATGCCACTATACTGTGGCATTTTATTTCGTCGCAATATAAGCTACTAGCTTTACTGGCCCGCGACTCAGTCCTCGTGTCATTAAAAAAACGAAAGTAACCTATGTGTTCTTCCAGACTATCCTCTACATCTATGCTAAATTTCATCGAAATCCGTTCAACTGTTTAGGCTACAAACTCTAACAAACATCCATCCATCTAAACTTTCGCATTTATAATATAAGTAAGATAACACATTAAAGTTTGCAGTATTATTTAGCGCCAAGTGGTGAAGTCGAACGCTACGTTCAACGCCTTCGTGGTGCCAGGTCCCCCGAGCCTCGCGGATGAACTGGTCCCGGTCTCCATGACGCGGGAGTTGGAGCTGGAAGACGACATGAAGGAATACTGGGGATTCTATCTTTTGAAGGGATCATCGGTGACAGTGTCCACTTGCGTCAGGTTTGTTATTTTATAGAAATAAAGTAAACTAAGTAAATAGAAGGCTATATGCTAAGAGTAGCTGTTGCCCGCGACTCTATACGCGCGCGATTGAATAAAAATATTTAAAAGCCTATGAGTTTTTCCAGACTATGTTTTACATTTGTGTCCAATTTATTTGAAAACTGTTAAGCCATTCTGGAGATACGTTCTAATAAATATTCATCCATGCATACATCTAAAATTTTGCATTTATAATATTAGTAAGATTAACTGCTTGAAGATGTTGAAGTGGGCTCTACCACTGTTTGAGATTAGAACAACTTACAGATGTTTCTATTTGTAGATGGCCAGGAGCTTCTCTAATCATGATAAAAGGCTACAAGCATCTCAAAGAATGCGCTTACATCGGAGATAACTCCTCAGAAGAATTAGATGAACTGCTAGAAGCTTATAAATTGGGTCTTCTATCTAATACTACACTTTTAGAGAAGGTGCAGGAATTGAAAAAGGTCGATGGGAAAGCTAACGATCCGGGTAAGCTTTGAAAAATCGTAAATTTATTACGTCCTCACACTTAAATGCTCGGAGCCTAAGTTTGGGTGAATAGGCCATAGTCAACCACGCTGCACTGCGGTTTTGACTTCACACATATCTTTGAATTTCTTTCCCGATATGTGCGACATCGCGATGTTTTCCTTCACCGTAAGTTTCGGGTAAATTATGTACATATGAAATTTGAAAAATTGAAAAAATCACATCGGTAAATATTCGAACCCAGGACCTGTAGATTACAAGTCAAGTGCTTTAACCACTGAGCCACCGAGGTTCGAGAAAAATTTCAGAATTAAATGATTACTTCAACTTATCTGTGATTTACGATATTTAAGTTTATTGCAAATAATCTTCATCGATAATAAATATCCATTTTGTAACGTGTTCCTCAATAGAAGTACTTCTGATATAGCTGGACTATCAGAGTTCAATGCACTTTGTTAAGAACACAAATATAAGTGATAGGTTATTGTTTAAAGCAATACTCAAAAACACTTACTGGTACAGAGAAAAAGACAAAAGCCAATTTTTAACGACAGATTTTAACAGCATACGTACATACATACCTTTGAATAATCTATCGCATAATTGTTTGCTCACGTTTTGATTCCTTTGAGATTATATGGAGATACTACTCGATATTTAGTTGTGCAACTAAACAGTTGAGCTGCGAAACAATCGACAATCGCACAACAGTTGTCCGATAGTTTAGTGAAAGGTGTACGCCCGCTTTTCTTTTTCTTCTTAAAGTGCCATCTTCCAAAATTCGGCGATCATTTGGGCGACTTTCGTTCTTGACATCGCGGCTCTGAAAAGTGAACGGGTGCTCTTCCCATACCACGTGCATACGGCGTAGGTTTTTGAACGCCCGCTTTTACAGCCTTACAAATAACCGCGTTATTAAGTAATTAATTAACTTAGGAATAAACTGAGTATACGCAAAATTTGTACTTATATTTAAGCAAATAAGTGTAAGCACACTCAGTTTATTCTTATAACTTTATACCGCGTTTATTTGTTAGTGTTTAAAACTACGACTAGGAACTCAAAACCTTAGAAAACAAAACACAAAAGCTTAGTATTTGTTACTACATGGCGTTGGTATCGAATTAAATCACGGTATAGTATTGCATAATATAGTTTGTGTTCAGGTGCTATGAAACGTCACAAAGCTGGCGTAAGTTTCCATGATCCGACGCAACGTGGAAATATGACGTCATCGGACCCTGTACCGAGCGTGGATGTCACTGATCATGATCCCAAGGTATGTATAAAATTCAACGCAACGAAATCAACACTAAAATATCAATAAATTCATTCTTGAAAGGCATAAAAAAGATAATCATTAATAACAGATATTTAAATAATGCATAGACGAGGCATTGAAAAAAAAATTCACCGGTATTTTCTCTGAAAGATACTATGTCAAGTTTAGTGCCACCTCATGTATATTGACATATAATAAAACAAAATTAGTGTTACCAAATAAAATATAAACATTCAGAGCGTGCACATTTGACTAAACTATCGCACAACTGTTGTGTAATGTGTGTAATGTAATGTGTAATAAAAACAATACACACAAGGTGGCACTAAATTTGACATAGCACCAATCATGCCGTGTTTCGTCTGATGAGTGTGGTGCCGGAGGCTTAATTTAAGTCCCTTTCTCTTTACCACCCTTTTCTTATGAGAGGATGGGA